AACAAAAATTAGATGCAACCAACTTAAAAAAAAAACTTTCGCATTTTGTATCATTTTTAATTTATTGAGAGGAAGTTGTTTACATTTTATATCAGTTTTAAGATACGTGAATGGTATCTTAGATGGGTAAGATTTACGGTTATTTAGACTTAGTTTGGTTAGGGTTTTTTAGATTAAAAAGACATAAAAAAAAAAAAATAGACTAAATAAATCATTAACATAAAATATCACATCTAATTCATAATTATTTCACTTTTTTTTTCACAAAAGTAAAAAAAAAAAAAACAACCCAAACGAATTTTTTAATTAAAAGCTAACAAAGTCATAACTCACAAAAACCAACTAAATTTTTGGCAAACCACAACTAAGTGGATACAATTTGTATAAAATTGTGAAGTAAATATAGTACAAGTAATGTCTGATAGAGAAAAACAAAACTTAACTCCAAAAACACAAAAAAAAAAAAAAAAACTTTAATAATTCTAGCATATCACCTTAAGACTACATTTGATTTGGTCACGAGTTCAAATTTTACGAAGGCTAAACGTTTCAAATTTTGAGGTCACTGGAAGTTTGCTGATTGTTAATTTTAGGGCCCTGAGATTAGTGAGGTGTGCGCAAACTTGGCCTGGACACTCAATTATCAAAAAAAAAAAAGAGACTGCATTTGATTTGCCGACAAGATTTGATGTGATAAATTATGCCGGGATAACTAATTTTGAGGAGGGCACTTTCAAGAGGAAAATGTTTAAGATTCTCAAAAAGTACTTACAATTCTACCTACAATGATATGTCATGATATATATCAACTTCTTATTTGTTGCACAAATGATGGTGAACTCAACTCTCATATCACATTATTGTGGGTGAATTTGTAAGTATAAATGTATGGGTCTCTACCATTACTCCTTTTAAAATTTTGTCACAAATGTGTTATCACGGTTTACAGGAATAAAATAATCTCATATATTCGTGATAAAAAGTCCATCAGGATTAGTTATATATTCTTAGAAAGTTTGAATCAAATATGAAATTATTTTATGACAGGATTATTTGACCTATTCTTATGAATTAAATGTGGCCTAAGAATACAAAAGAGCAAGTAATATTGTTAATCAAATGTTGTTGAACGACTTGAGTATCGATAATTTAATTTACCACTATACTTTATTTTTTTTCCAAAGGAGATTAATAACAAATATTACATCAAACTAGATAATTAATTATAATCCAACAACCATTATAATACAAGAAATAGTTCATAATAAGAATAACTAAATATTACTCAACATTTATAAAGAGGGAGATATAATCAATCTTTACTTTTGATAATAATTGACTCCCCACTTTCCCAACACAAAAAAATACCCAAAATATTCAACGTATAGCCCAATTTCATTTAAGATATATGTTTCATCATACACGAATTTAATTTCAATCACACATTAACTTTTTTTTGTTAAATTTACCACTACATGGGCCGCCATTAGAATTGCTCATGAATGGTGGAGATCGTTTAGGTGTCACCATTCCATTACTTAGAAATTTCACTTCCTAAAATGGAAGAAAAAGATTGAGATATATATAGATAAAAGCCATTAGTGGAGTATTAGATTTAAATTTTTAAATAAACTCAAGTTATCCATTACTTAGAAATTGAACAATACTACGGCTACTTATACTCTTGCTAACAATTTTATTAAAAATATACGTATTCAAATATCATTTGATATTTAAATATGATTACTTTTTTTACAACAATCACATTTGACCTCTTATATTTTTAGTAAGATTGTTAGTATATATAAAATTATTCCTTAGAAATTTCACTTCCTAAAATGGAAAAAAAAGGTTGAGATATATATAGATAAAATGCATTAGTTGAGTATTAGATTCAAATTTTTAAATAAACTCAAGTTATGATAATAAAAATGGTTGTCTGATGTTAGGCATGGAAGATTACATCACATTATTAATATGTTTTAATTTTGATTTTCAAATTAAAATATTGGATCTGTTAATCGTCATTCATTATTATAGCAGTTAGAATCTTGTTAAAATATATTTATATATATATATATTGCTATTTAGGCCAAAAAATTATACTTATTTTTTATATCTAATGATGTGTCACTCTATTAAAATATCTAAGCCAAATCTCTCTAATTATGAACCAATCATCTTGACACATTATTGGGTCTACAAAAATGATCTAGAAAGTAGACTTATATATATCGTTTTTTTTAAAAAAAATTAATTAATTAATTTTTTATTTTATGATTATCATTTACTATTGTCAATTTTAAGTTTGATTTTCGAGTTAAAATATTGGAACCGTTAACCGTCATTCATGATATTGGCCAGAATCATGTAAAAAAAATCCACTAACTTTTTTTTATATTTGTTTTTAAATATAATTCTACCGATTAAAGCAAATTAGGGTCATTATCTGATCAAAATTTGAAAGGTTTGTTTTAGAAAAATAAAAAGAAAAATCACCCAAGATAATTTGTTTTGTTACCTCTTACAGTAAGAATCAAGGTTGGTTTGGAAACTAATTTTTTAAATAACTTATTTGTTTTTGCCTTTTTATAAAATAAAAAAAAATAATAATACAAAAAGTAGAGAAAATGAGAATGAATCTTAACTTTTTTTTGGTATAATTTTTTAATTTTTTTAACTTTTTAATTTTTTAAGTTTTTTTAATAATTTTTATTTTTTTTATTTTTTAACTATTAATCTATTGGCAAATGGCCTCAAAATAAAGTCATTAAATTATTAGTCATCTAACTGCCTCTAAGTCAATTGACAATAGGTGCTGGAGTCTCTAAGTTCAAGTGGCATAGAGATTTGATATTAGATTAGATAACTCTCTTTGCACATGTGAGCCTATCACATGTAGGGATGACAGTGGGATGACAGAGGGATGACAGACGAGAGAAGAGAAAAATAAACTCGAACTGATACATGATTTACTGAAAATTATTCAATACCCAATTTTGATACTGTTAGGCAATCTTCACTGTATTTAAATTAATTAAATTCTGTTGTGTACTAAACAACAACCAGAATATAAAGAAATAAAGAAAAGGAGAGAATATGTTTGATTACAAAAATCAAACTTGAAATAAAAATAAATAAATAAATAACAGATTTTATTTTGTTAAATAACCATTTCCAACAGATACCATGTTAGATTAATAATTGTTCAAAAAAAATTAAGGATCTGTTTGGAAGAGATTTAGAAATGTAATTCTACCTCTTTATTTATACGTGGTGTTTGGTTATAGTTTTTAAAAATTAATTTCAAATTCATTTTTGAAAACTCTTTCCAAGACGAGAAAATTTGAGCTAACTGGTCGTCCCCCGGACCTCCAGCCGGTCGTCCTCCCAGATGTCCAGCTAATTGACCAGAATAGTTCAATTTTTATATATTTTTTAAACAATTGATACCTGTTATTTTTTATATTTTAAATTAAAAAAAATCAAAATTTTTTATAAGTTTTGAATAGAATTTGAGTTGTGTATTTAGTTATGAGTTATAAATTTTTGTATCAAATATCATATGTCACATCAAAAATTTCTCACTTAATTCAAAACTCTTTTCAAAACACATTTACTAAACAAATTTTCACACACAAATCATAATTCCAAAACTCATAAACTCAAAATCCAACTTTTATTCTCAAATTATATTTAGAAAATTCTACCAAACGCTACCTAAATTGTTCGGAGGTGAGCCCAATAACATAGTTTCATCATGTGTATCTATTCACACTACTACCACATTTAAATATTGAACCCTTTAATTTATGAATATATTTTTTTTTTGGATATATAACAATTCTATTTGAGTGAGTAAGAATTTAATATAAATTAAAAGTTGATAATCAGAAAGTAAGAGCCAAAGACATATTCATCCCAACTTTTATATTATTAACTTTTTTTAATTTATTTAAATTATTTTTATGTCTAATAAGTTATAAATAAAAATTACACCAAAAATCTGATACAAATTTTTAAATTAAAATGAATTATAAATAACTTATTTAAATTGCACCTAACAACCCATTGCACGTATGAAGTTCTCAATTTCTCACCAACAATTGAGTGTTGGTATTGCGTTGTTGGACTTCCTACATCCCAAAAATTTTAAACAACATGAGAGGTGATGGACAAGTACCTAAAAAGGAAGAAGTAAGGTAGTTAATCATGAATTAGCTTAAACTTAGGTAATTAAAGTTTAAAGAATCCTCAAACATTTTATGTGAACTAATGTTTTAAAAATCGGATTACACTACAAAAAAATTGACTTTTTGCGACGGTAAAATACCGTCGCTAATACTCCTAATGCTGTCGCTAATACTTTTTACGACGGCAAGAGGGGGTCGCAACTGCAGGAGTTGCAAAAGAGTTTTTGCGACGGTAAGTGCCGTCGCTAATGTTTTGCGACGGCATTTTTTATCTTTTTGCGACGGCATCGTGCAGTCGCTAATAACGTTTGAAATTTCTTGACTTTTTTGCGACGGCCCTATTTTACCGTCGCTAAAAATGTTATTTGAGACGGCAAAAAATACCCTCGCTAATAGTCTTTTTCTTTAAAAAAAACACTGTTTTTGCGATGGTGTGGGTGCCGTCGCAAAAAGTATAAAAAATATGAAATTTTCTATTTTTGCGACAGTGTAATGCCGTCGCAAAAAATATTAAAAAATAAATAAAATTTTTATTTTAAATATAAAATTTCTATTTTTTGCGACAGTATATGTCGTCGCAAAAAGTAAAACCTATAACAAAAATTAATAAAATATTAAAAATTTCTATTTTTTTCGACGGTGGTGCCGTCTCTCACTCTCTAAGAGCTGATTATTTACATTCCATTCACAAAAACATCATAACAGAAAATAAAATAAAAATTGATCAAACATCAAATTCAATATTTTACAAAAATAATTAAACTGTACATGTTCATAAAAGATATTTAATTATAAAATTCACCCAAATCCTAAAAAAAATAAAATAATAAAATAAAATCTAAAATTCACCAATCAGCACATTGGATATTTAAATGCTCTTACAAAAAATAAAAAATATAAAAAATTTCCAACAAGATCTCAATTTTGAGCCTATTTCAAAAATCAAGCTGCAAATTCCTTACTTCTAGAATCAGATCTTCCCCTCGGCAAAATTTATCCTTTTGACCTACAAATAAATAGATAACAGTTGCAAATTATAATCTTTTGGAGGAACCAACTATTTAAACACCAGTAATGAAGACAATGAAAACTGTGGAAAGAACACTTACGTTGTCTCAGGAACAAACTGCATATCTCTCAGAGTAAACTTTAATCGGGTCTACTGGTTTTTCTGTGACATCACTATCTCCTGAACATCACAAAGAACAAACCAAAGTTAACATCAATATTTCACTATCACATCATCATCAATTATTATCATTCAATTATAGATTAAGGTATACTTAGTTTCATGTATCATTCAGCTCCAAGGCACTAAACTAACAATGTGATCTCATCAAATATATGCTATATGTTGTAAATTCATGCATGAGCAACGATTATATAAATTTTGCACATGAAAGGAAAAATAATAATACAATCACCTAGGTTTGCCTAGGGTCTTGGGTGCTCTACTGAATTTTCTACAATATCCCCCACCAACATTGGGGCTTTGCACTCCAGCAAAATCCGTAGGTAAGGCTACACATACACCTAGACCCGATCCATACCACAGAGCATCATTGACGATCCTTGCATAAAGAAAGATTTAATACCTTGCACATTGCCTATTAGTCTGTTGGTGTAGAGAGATAGAGCACATTGGTGGATCTTCATATAATAAGAAGGCAAAGACTGATTATAACATGGGAAAAATCAGCTCATCTAAGAACCTAAACTTAAAACTTCCTTACCTTCAATAAATCTCATGGCACAACCAGTAAATGATGTATATGCACATATTTATAGGTAACAAAACTTAGTGATTCAATCACCTAGAAAGCCAAAAGTGGACTACAGGGAAAAGGAAATAAATAATAAAAACCTCACTATTTAAAGAGTAAAGAATTAACCAGAATTAATATATATATATATATATATATATTGGGGCAAATTCGACATTAAAACCGTGCACACTGACCAAGCCAGCCAAATTTTCAGACTACCCTAAAAATTATGAAATATCAAAAGTAACTGAAACAAAAGTATCCTTTTCATGAATAACACCACTAACAAATTTGACAATAGAAGAAAAATAAAAGCCAATGCTACAAGCATCCAACACTTGAAGGAACAGTTTAACCCTCTCAAATGTCCCTCTATTCCATTCTTTCCAAATAACAGTACAATAATCCTCCACACCATCCACCAACCTTGCTCCAACCTTAAGGATATCAACCACAAAGAATATAGGCAATTTAGTTTTTTGCATAACCTAGCAAACTCAAACCAATTGACAAAAATACAGTAAGTTAATAGTCTTAGATATTTAAGTGATCAATGCATACAGTAATGCGATGCATCACACCAAGTAGGAATGGGCAATAACAAAATATAAGATGTGGAGAAAGAACTTTTCATATGACTTCATAAATATGTCAACAACCACCAAAATATCTGTGAAGTTTTAGATTGAAGCACATAAACCTCCAAACAGAGACACCTCCCGAGTGGAATTCTTGGCTTTTGGATTGCTCCTTTTGGGATTAAGGTTAGCAGGCTTCATCTCCTTTTTGATGTTTAGTGAATTTTTAAAGATTTTTTTCACGAAAATTATACTTTTTAAGTGTATTTATGTTAAGTATGTCTAAAAATTAGAAAAATTACTTAAAATATTAAAAAAAATCAGCAAAAAATAAAAAAATACCGAAACAAGAAAATAGAATTTTCTGAAAAGTGTTTTTAGAAAATCTAAACCAAGCAAAGTGATTCGGTTCTTATAAATTTCAACTGATCATTGGAAGTATGTTATGCCAATCTCCAACCCCCACGATAAAATGTTCCATAAAAAGTCAATAGTAAATCCCATTTATAGGAGACAAACACAATAACAAATAGTTGTGTGAGTTGATAAGAAAATCCATTCTAAACACATTATCTAATCAAAATACATGATCTAATCCAAATTGCGCAAGTATAAAACAAGTATAATTAAATTGCATACCGTGTTCTGCCCAAGTGGAGCTCTGAGGGCCAGCTGATCAAATGTCAGGCACTCACCACCGGCCTTCTCAATCCTTGCTCTCACTGTCTCTGTGAACCTCAGTGCAGTCACCTTCAAGGCAGGAACTTCATGGGCCCTAATGTCATCAGTAATGGTACTAACAACGACGGCAATCTTTTCCCCCTGGTACAAAACCAGTAGCAATGTTAAACAATTATATCCACAAAAACACTATTTTAGAGTATACAATTGATTCTAAAAATAAATAACAATACATGAATTTAATTGTAAAGCTCTGTTGAACAACAAAGAGAATTATGTTTAGAAACAAATGGTCAAGAAATGGCACAATCTTTCTATAACGGAAATGAAGCAACTTGGAAAAGCATTTTGAGTCATTTTTCCACTTTCTGTCCATGACAGATTCATAATGAGATCTAAATAGACCTAAATCTTCAGTTTCTGATTATTTGGGATATGACCAAAAAATAAAAAAAAGGGAGAGTTTCTACTAGTCAGAGCATAATACTGTGAATTCTTAGTTTTTTCAACTTCCAAAGAGACAGAAATATTCAAGATTTCTTCTTTTAAATATATATATTTGTGGCAGCTTCCTCATAACTTGAATCCTAATGCATTTTCCACATATTGCATACAATATTCACAATTTTTAGAAATGTTTTCACAATTTTTAGATAGTTTCATACACCATTCACATTTCTATAACAGACATGATTCCACTTGAAAAATAATTTTTAGTCATTTCCCCTTTTCAGTCAATCATAGATTCACAACATGATCTAAATAGACCCTGAATCTTCGATTTCTCATTATTTGGTATATGACAACCAAAAAAAAAAATGTATCTCTACTCATCAGAGCATAATACTATGGATTTCTCGTTCTTTCAACTTTCAAAGCAACCAAAATATTATAGATTTCTTCTTTTTTATATTTCTTTGTGGAATCTTCCCAATAATTAGAAACCTAATGCATTTTCACATATTTCATACAATATTTACAATTTTTAGAGATATTTTCGTACACTATTCACATACTTCTACACAATTTTTACACATACATCGCAACTAATGACTATAAATTAGAGATATATCTGATATATATATATATATATAAAACAACCATCGGGCCGAGAGAGAGAGAGACAGATTGAGAGAGAGAGAGTTTACCTGTGAGTAGATTGGCGGTGCGATGATCGGTGCGAATCGATGAGATGAGCAATGAGAGAGTAAGAGAGTGATCGGTGCAGAGATGAACGAGATCGGTGCAGAGATAAACGAGAGGGTGAGAGAGAGAGAGAGAGGCGACTGAGAGAGTGATGTGAGGGAGACGATTAGATTTAGGGTTTTTTTTTGTTCTAAAGAGATTGGGGATTTTGGGGCGCGGGAATGGAAAAAATGGGGGGAACCGAGCGGGCGGGATGGAAAAAAAAAATCATCATAAATAAATATTTAAATAATAAAAATAAATAAATAATAATTTTTATTTTCTTTCCGTTATTAAAGTTGATTTGTTTCATATATATTTTAATGAAAAATATTTTCACTAAAATAAAAGTTAATTTTCTGTAGTCAATGAAAAATATTTTTCTGCGGTCTATTTTTTTTTATTACTAAAAATCATGAACTAATTTTTTGTAGTAGAGGAAAAGGAGCGGCAACAGTAGTGAAGGTAGTGGATAAGAGATGATGGTGGTAGGGGCGGTGATGGTGATGGCGAAATAGATTAGTGGTGAAGTTGTGGTAGTGGTAGTGTAAATGGAGTGGCATGGGTGAAAGAGAGGTAATGGTAGTAGTAGTGGTAGTGGTGGTAGTGGAGTGGTGGCGATAGTAGTAGTAATGGTAGTCGTAGAGGTGAAGTGGCTACAGTAGAAGTAATGGTGGTGGTGGAATGGTGTTTGCAGTAGTGGTGAAGGTGATAGAGGAGATGGGTGGTGAGAGAGATAAATGAGTGAGAGACAGATAGAGAAGAGAGAGAAAGACAGAGTGATGAGCGAGAGAGAGATAAAGAGAGAAAGAGATATAGAGAGAGATAGAGAGGCAGAAAGAGAAATCGATAGAGAGAGACATATAGAAAATAGAGATAAACAAGATATGAGAGAGACATATAGAAAGATAGAGATAAACAAGAGATGAGAGAGACATATAGAAAGAGAGCGAAAAGAGATGAACGATAAAGAGAAAAGAAAAATAGAGAGATAGAGAGAAAATAGATGAGCGAGAGAGACAGAGAGAGAAAAGATATGAGAGAGATAGAGAGAAGAGAGATGAGCGAGGGAGACATAGAGAGAAGACAAATGAGAGAGATAGAGAGAAGAAATATGAACGAAAGACACACAGACAAACAGACAAACAGATAGATAGACAAACAGACAGAGAAATAAGAGTGACGAGTGAAAGAGAGAAAGAGAAGAGTGGTGGTAGTTGAATGGCATTTGCAGTAGTGGTAAATGTGGTAGAGAAGATGGGTAGTGAGAGAGAAAGATGAGTGAGAGACGAATAGAGAAAAGAGATAGAGAGACAGAGTGATGAGCGAGAAAGAGACAAAGTGGTCGCTAAAAGTGCATTTTCTTGTAGTGGATCGATAAATCGATAGGGAGCTCAATAAATAAAGAAGACAGATAATTCAAAACTCTGTTCAAAACTTAATTCAAATCAATTTTTTAAATATTTTAAATATTTAAATATTTTAAAAATATTTTAATTTTGTGAGAGACAGATAAAGAAGAGAGATAGAGAGAGAGAGACACAGAGAGTGATGAGCGAGAGAGAGACAAAGTGGTCGCTAAAAGTGCATTTTCTTGTAGTGGATCGATAAATCGATAGGTGCAGACCTTCGGTAATCTCGGATTGCTGGCCGGTTACGGTGCTAAACCCATAGGGCCGGGTTTGGGTCGCAGTAACCATTTCTTTAACTACATCAATCCCCACATTTCTTCTCTTCATTCTTCCTCAATTTCCATGAATCAAGGAAAAGTCCATTATATCAAGTAATTCCTATCCAAATAAAACTTGTTATAAATTTTGGAGGTATTCTCTCTCTTGTCAACAATCTAGGTTTTAACAACATTACATCAGTGATTAGAGAAGAAAATTGAGGATTTTCAAACAAATTGCAAAACAAGAGCTTAGATATATGTAGTAAAGGTTTAAGCTAATGAAATCCCCAAATTTATTAACACATCACATACATTGCCATGAAATCCCATCAATAAAGAGGAAATACAAAGATAAAGGTATTCCTACCTCAAATGACAGGCCAAAATCCAAGCTCCTTCACGGTTCTGCTGCAAACCCACGATCTAATCAGTAGAAAACGATGATCCTTAAGTGTATTTCGCTCCTAACAAGTGATTTCGGGCGGATTTCTATGGTAGGAGAGGTGTTGGATGATAGGAATTTAGGGTTTCCAAGAGAGGGGGGAGAGGAGATCAAGAATAGAAAAAGGAAGGTGTAAGAATGATATAAAATTACTGTGTGAATGACAAAATTAATGAATTTTTGTAAGGAAATATTGTCTAATTAGTGACAAATTTTTTGTCACTAAAGTATATTATTGTTGACCAAATCATTTTTCCTTACAATGATTTTTTGCAGCAAATATACAGTGACAAAACTGGCGACCAAAATATTTCCACACGAATATCTATAGTGAAGAAATTAGCATTTTGGAGACCAAAAAAAAAAAAAAAAACATCATTGAAATTTTTTTTCGTTATAGTGATGCTGGTATGTTTATTAATTTAATCTCATAATTTAAATCACAAACATAAAAGTTAAATCAACCACACACAAAAAAGATTCATAATTTTTTAAAATTGAAAACCAAACTGGGAGAAATCATGGACCTAGTCTAACCAACCAATTTACTATAAAGAATAAAATAAAACTTGCAATTTACAAACCAACTTTAATTTAATCCATAGTATCGAACCAATGAACAAGCTGGCATGTTCCTAATACTAAATGAATTCATTATCTATGTCTAAAATAGTTGGTTGAGTATTGAATCCAAAATACCAACCAGCGTTCGAGCGAAGAGGACCTATCACTACAAGAAAACTGGGTATATGAGACGGAACTATTTGCGACGGCACACTTGCCGTCTCAAAAAGTCACTTTTTGTGACGGCAGAAAATGCCGTCTCAAAAAAGCAGAGTATTTGCGACGGCACCATTTGCCGTCTCAAAAAAGCAGAGCATTTGCGACGGCACTATTTGCCGTCTCAAAAAATGAGAGTATTTGCTACGGCAGAAAATACCATCGAAAATACTCTCATTTTTTGAGACGGCAAATAGTGCCGTCGCAAATGCTCTGCTTTTTTGAGACGGCAAATGGTGCCGTCGCAAATACTCTGCTTTTTTGAGACGGCATTTTCTGCCGTCACAAAAAGTGACTTTTTGAGACGGCAAGTGTGCCGTCGCAAATAGTTCCGTCTCATATACCCAGTTTTCTTGTAGTGTTAGTGAGTGAACTAAAAAAAGATCGAGTGAATGGATCATCTGTTCAACTGTCGACTTGAATCGAAATAGAACATGGTATCATAGTTATTTTATAAATATTTTATACATAAAATACATTTATTTAAAATATTTTTATAATTTCAAATATATATTTATCAAATACATGTTTGTATAATTTTTATATTAATATTATTTGTAAGAATATTAACTATATATGTTTTTGACAGAAATTACTTTGAATATAATAAATATTATATATCTTATATATATATATATATTAATAAGGAGTCATGGTGGTATAGTAGAAATTCATGCTCACTTAGAGCTTGAGGCGTTGGGTTCAACTCTTTCTAACACGAAAATTTTCAATGTTGGATCATATATAGCAAACTGGTCCGGTTTGATCTAACCCGCACTAGGTCTTTCGGTTTGCTGGTTTAATCACAAATCCCACCGATTTAGTTTAAAATGACCGATTTTCAAGTGGGAACGGTTAAATGGGTATATCCGAACTGAACCCTAGACCGATTGGCGGTTGAATCGGCCGATCTAGTTAGTTTTAACATTTATGTGAACATTTACCAACTCATTGGTAATGCAAGTTCTACACCAAGTATCTTGTAAGTGCATTAGTTTGTGAGTGACAAGGCAAGTTGGCCCTTAGACATAATGCATGGGGTATGCAGTACCATTCTCGTAGTTGGCTTCTTAGGAGGATGACAAGTACCCAGTGGAACTTACACCAAGCATGTTCATTGTAGGATTCGCACCAAGGGTGGTGTCTGCATGGGATAGGTTCTCATGAGTAAGGGAACGGGCAAGCATGAAGCACGTTCATTGTGGGGTCTGCACCAAGGGTGATGTCCGCGTGGGGTAGGTTCTCATGGGTAGGAGAACGGATAAGCATGAAGCACGTTCATTGTAGGGTCCGCACCAAGGGCGGTGTCCGCGTGGGGTAGGTTCTCATGGGTAGGGGAACAAACAAGCATGAAGGCAGGCAGGGTGATGTCCCCCGAATGATGGCGTTAGGAATAGGCGGTGGTATCACGTACCGACTCATTGGTGATGTGAGTTCTACACCAAATATCTTGCAAGCGCATTAGTTTGTGAGCGGCAAGACAGACAAGGTAGATCTCAATCGCATCACCTAAATTGGTCCTCACGCAGTACCACTCGTAGAGAATGACAAGAGCCCAACAACATTGATGTGAACATTAAAATTAAATTTTTTTTAAACAATTATCACTAATATGAAAGGTACACGTAAAATAAAAATAGCTTGCAATTTGACGGACAAATCAAATTAAAATTGGACTTAACGTGTGTGGTTAATATTGTTGAAATTGAAATTATAACCAAAATAAAATTTGAATCAAATTATAGGGATGAAAAGTATAATTTACTTAAAATTCTTTGAATGTTTATAAGAAAATGCTTAAAACTCCTAAAACATCATTCCTAAACTACGGCTAATAAATTGAAATATTACATGTCAATTATTAATTTATTTAAAAATTAACCAACTAATCAATTTTTTTTATGACATCAGTGTAAATAAATTTAATAATTATGTTTAAAGTTGTCTAGTAGTACTTTTTTGAAATCAGTTGCATATTAGGCATATGTGACAATCACTTTTTTGCAATCATCCAAAGAAAGCAATCAAGTAGGCAGTTTTATACACCACTTAAAATGCGTCATGCATCAAAGTTAAGAGGTGTGGGCATGGATTTTCAGTTGGGCTAATGCTCTAGAAATTGATTTTTTATATAAAATAATATATAAAAATAAATGTGATTTTTTTAAATATTTTATTGATTAAAATTTTATGATTTATAGTTATAAAAATATTATTGACATATAATTTTGTATAAATAATTTGTATATTTAATATTTTATTTTCGGCCTAATCCCACACGCACACACTATTCACAAGAAGACATGATGATTCAAATCAACGTACCATTAGGCTATCATTCTAAATTGAGGCA